ATAAATGGTAATTGGGTATATAAAATGTAATTATAGTAAAACTTGAGTAGAGAGGGTAATATAATTTCATATAGTGTATGGAAATGTAAAAATTCCCTTAAAAAATACGTTTAAAGATAAAATTGTGAACAAGTTTAAGAAATATTTATAAATTATATTACAATATATATATACTTAAAATTATATTTAAAAATTGTATAAATATAATGTCGGGCTGGTTTGGTTTCGATTTGACTTTTTTTAGTTAAAACAAATCAAACCAGTTATGGCCGGAATTTTTTTTCCAATACCAAACCAAATCATAATCGGATTTTTTTTTCCAGTTTGACTCGGATTATCAGTTTGGTGCTGTTTATCGATTTTCTTTGTACACATCTAAGTTAGATTATATCATTGAAATGAAATAACCTCTCTGCCTTTTAAAGGCAGGAGCAAGGTCTATGTATACTCTACCCTTCCCAAACTCTACTTGTAGGAATACACTGAGTATGTTATTATTGTTATTGAAGCTAAGGTTTAGATCTCCTCCTCAAGTGGATATTTTCAGTATAACCATCTAGTATTCAGTTACCTCCTAGTCCTACGAAGTTAAATTCTGTTGCATCCTTAAGTGGCTTAACTATTTAAGAAGACAATAATAACAACGACTCAGTTAAATTTCATTAGTGGGGTCTGAAGAGGGTAGTGTGTACGTAGATCTCACTTCTACCTCGAGGGAGTAGAAAAGTTGTTTCCGAAAGACCGTCAGCTCAAGAAGACGAAAATAGATAATATATTAGTACCATCAACAGGAACTAAAGGAATAATAACAACATCATAAAAACCAGAAAATAGATGAAAACAATAGCAATAACCTATAAATAGACCCGACACTACAAAACGACAAGAGGAGTGAGAACACAATATTAACCATTAGCAGTCTAAGACAAAAGTTTTATAAGACTAGCCTCACATAGTTACGACCCTACCCTACAACCATAATACTCGACCTCCATAACTTCCTATCAACCATGTTCTCGAAAATCTGAAGCCATATCATGTCTTGCCTGATCACCTCTCCCCAATAAGAAGTTGATAGAGAAATTATAAGAGCCCTTGTAAAGGACACAGAATTAAAGAGCATGCGATGAGAATTTAATCAACAAAGAAATAGAAACTAGTGTCTTAAGTCTACTATATTCGTAAAACTAATAATGCCACTTACTGTACGTGCATGTGTTTACTTTGTTTAATTATTTTCTGTTAGACTATAAGTACAGTATTTAGATAGAAGTCACAAGTAAAGTAGTCCACCAACCTTTACAAATTTCTTAGTACAACATTACGTACAATATATACGATTTTGTGTCAGTAGATTTGACTGATGAAAAACATTGCTATAACCACGAGAGTTAGAAATAGTCTGCCAACCACATAAACTGAACCTTCCACTTGTCATACACTCATTTTCACTCCCCTCCCTTTACTCATAACAAACTCTCTCTTCCTCTCATCCACAATCAACTAACTTCAACTAAAAACTAGGACTTCCCTCACTTTAATTTGCTACAATAATCCATTTACTTATACACCACAACCTTCACTACTGTCACTATCTAATTCTTTATATATACCAACCCTATCTTCAACTATACTACAAAACATACTCCCATAGTAAACTTTTCATTCTTTAAAATTTTCTTTTATTACTTTTTAGAGAGTGAAAATGGTGGACAATAGTGAGAAAAATGAAACAATATCAAGTGTTGTACATTATTGTAGAGTATGTAAGAGGGGGTTTAGTTCTGCTGGAGCTCTTGGTGGGCACATGAGATCTCATGGAGTAGGGGATACTAGTAGAAACTATGGGGAAGACATTAGTGAACAAAGATTTATGATCAACAACAACTTTAGAAGGGATAATAAACAAGAGGGACAAAAACATTCGTATAATCTTCGTGCTAATTCTAATCGATTATTTGGTAATCGAGCTAGTGAAGATCGTGATAGAAAGTCCTCGATGTGGCCTCCTAATGATCGTGGGAAATATGTCACAGATGAAACTTTAACTTTATCACCAATGTCATCGCCTGGATCATCAGATGTTGAAAGAAATGTTCTATCATATAATGCAAAATCGGAGTACTATGGTCATGATAAGGATCAATGTGATTTGAGAGAAGATGAAGATGAAGATCTAGCGAATTGTTTGGTCATGTTGTCGAACAAATCTTATGATTTGTCCGATAACAACAAGGAGGTCAAAAACAAGGCTAAAGAAGTTGAAAAAGGGTTATTCCAATGTAAAGCATGTATGAAAATCTTTAATTCCCACCAAGCTTTGGGAGGACATAGAGCGAGTCACAAGAAAGTTAAAGGATGTTATGCTGCTAAACTTGACGACAATAATAACAACAACAATAATGATACTGATATCGATGAAGACTCAATCTCTCCTACTGATTTAATTTTACATCAAGAATCTAACTCTTTTCAATCCCACTTTCCATCATCATCGGGCTCGTTTTCAAGAAAGAGATCAAGGGTTCATCAATGCTCGATTTGTCATCGAGTTTTTTCATCTGGACAAGCCTTGGGCGGACACAAAAGATGTCACTGGCTAACATCAAGTTTGCCAGAGACTACATTCATACCAACTTTTCAAGAAATCCAATATCACAACCAAGAACAACTATTCAACAAGCCAATGTTTACCAACTCTGATCAACCACTAGACCTAAATTTCCCAGCACAACTAGGCAATGCTGCTGAAGTTGGGCAGCAATGCAATCCATTTGAACATGAAGGCCCAAGAAGCTATCTCCAGCTATGGACAGACCAAGAAGTTGATACTAATAATCTAAATCTGAGTCTAAATCAGAAGTCCAAAGTTTCAACAGAAGATTTGAGTAGGGAAGAAAATTATAAGGCTAAGGAAGCAAAGTTGAGTAACCTTAAAGATGTGAATTTGGATGGAGGATCTTCTTGGTTACAAGTTGGAATTGGTCCAACCCCAGATATAGTAGCAACCCTCTAAGGTTAGCATAATAGTCATTGTTTTGTAAGCCACAAAATAGTTAATATATTATACACTCAGTCCCAATTTATAGACAATTTTTTCCTGTGGGATGTCCCAAAATGTTTAAAATATTTACACTAATAATAATACCCTATACATCTTTTATAATATTATTGATTCACGATCTTGCAACTGAATTTATCCCCCATGCTCCTGTGTCCTGCACCACATGCGCTTGTTAGTCATTAATGATCGGCTTAAGTAGTATTCTTTTGATTGAGCTAAATTAAAAAAAAAAAAAAATCTGTCCACAACGAATTTCAGGCTGCAACTCGCCTGCATGAAGGTTGAATCGTTAGCTTTCTTGTCTTAGTGACTCTTCCTCTTTTTTATTTTATTTTCTGGGTGTTAACGATGTCAAATGTGATGTTACATTTTTCATAACATACTATTTGTTTTTGAGCAAACAGGAAATATATATATTAAAGGTTAAAGAACATGCAGTACATGACTTTTATAGTTAGTGTTGCATAGGACACTTTGATTACCTAGGCTTGCTAAATTTTTACAAGCATCATAAGAGAGGAAATATACTAGATGAATGTTACGTTAGAAATAATGAACACAAAAAGCAGGAAATAATGACCCAAAATTCCAAATAATAATTTTCTTTACATTTTCTAGCTAGTCAATGGATCCTACAAGAGTTCCCTACTCTTTAAGCTATTCCCATGTCTTAAATAAAGCCTTGAAGCTCTTTTATATCTAGTAAATGGACTGTCTATTTGACATAATCAGAATAAGTTCACATATTTTTTTTTCTTTTTCCTTTTTGTTCCTTAATTTATTGGGTGTTCACAAGGCTTCTAGAAGAAGCAAAAATGAAGTAACTTTAATTTCTCTCTCAAAAAATTCGTACTTTACTTTTCAAAATTAAGTAATTACATATTTTATACTACAAGCTGTGCTAATATAGATTTATGTGTATTTAGTTGGTGTAAGTAAACACGGAAATTTAATTGGAGGCAATGAAGTTATGTCGACGGATGTTGAAATTGGAAAAGTTTAGTGTAACGATCCGGCTGGCCGTTTTGAGTACTTTAGCCCCGTTCTTCTATTTATTGCTTCCTCTATGTTATATTATAGTTATGTGACTTGTCGAGGTAGTTAGTTTGATTTTGGGTGAGGTTCAGAGTAAAGTGGAATTCTTAGTTCCAAAGTTAGAAGCTTAAGTTGAAAGAGTTGACCAGATTTTGACATTTGTGTAGACGACTCGGGAATAGAGTTTTGACGGTTCTGATAATTTTGTATGGTGATTTTGGACTTAGGAGTGTGTTCGGATATTGATTTGGAGGTCCGCAGGTTGTTTTGGCTTGAATTGGCGAAAGTTAGAAAGTTGAAGGTTTGGAAGGTTGAGAAGTTTTACCGGGAGTTGACTTTATTGATATTGGGGTCGGATTCTAATTTTAAAAGTTGGAATAGGTTCGCTGTATCATTTATGACTTGTGTGCAAAATTTGAGGTCAATCGAACTTTGTTTGGTATGAATCGACGTTAGTTTTGGAAGTTGGATTTTCATGGTTTCAATAGGTTTGAATTGGGATGCGATTCGTCGAATTGATATTGTTTGATGTGATTTTAGGTCTCGAGTAGGTTCTTTATGTGTTTTAGAACTTGATAGTATGCTTGAACGGGGTCCCGGGGCCCCTAGATGTGATTCAGATTGAATCTGGAAATTATTTTTTACTTGGAAGAATTCTTTGCAGCTAAGGTTCTGGTGCAATCGCACTTGCGCACTTGTGAGCTGCAGAAGCAAGGGTTGGACTGGCAAGTTGTGACCGTAGTAGCGGTCGTTTCTCCACAGAAGTGGATGTGCAAAAGCGGCTGGGTTCCGTAGAAGCGCAAGCACACATACACTCGATAGTCCGTAGATGCGATATTCCCTGGCTTAATGAAAAGCCGCACGTGCGATGGATTTTTCGTAGGTGCGGAGCCGTAGATGCTGTTATTGGTCTGCAGAAGCAGAACCACTGGGTTAAAAGGGGGCAGATAGAGGGTTTGTTCCCATTCTTCATTTTTGAGTTAGAGACCTCGATTTTGGGCGATTTTGAGTGAGTTTTTCAAGGAGATAATCATGGTAAGTGATTTTGACTTGAATTTGATTATTTTACATGAATCCATCATTGTTTTTACCATTTAATTAGTGTTTTGAGCTGGATAAATTGGGAAAAACTTCATAAGCTATATTTTGAGGATTTGAAGGTCGGAATTGAATAATTTTAGTATGGCTGTACTTGTTATTAAATGGATGTTCGGATTTTATAAGTTTGATCGGGTTTCGAGACGTGGGCTCAAAGTTAACCTTTTGAGTTGACTTTTTAATTTTCCTTAAAGATTGCAACTTTATTATCCGGAATAGTTTTCTATGGTTTGTATTTATGGTATAAAGTTATTTGGCTAGATTAGAGCCGTTCGGAGTAAGATATTCACGAAAAACTTACTAGTGAATTGAGTTAGCGTGTTGGAGGAAAATGTCTTACCTAACTTTAAGTGGGGGAATTACCCCTTAGGATTGGAGTTGTTTTGTGTCATTTGTGGTATGTGAAAGCTGTTTACGCAAGGTAACGAGTGGGTACATGGGTTATATGTGGCAGTTGACCGGTTTAAGCATGCAGATTATTTTCATACCTTTAATCGAATTATTATAACATTTTATATGCATCATCGTTAATCTATACATGCTTTATTTGACATTGTTAATACTTGTACCATCTTATACTTGTTATCTGCCCTTACATGCTTAGTTGAAGTTACTGTTTCCTTATTGCCTTGTTAATTATTTGACTGTTGAGTTACCTTACTTGAAATTGTTATTTCTTGGAATATCTTATCGTTAAGTTTTAGTGTTGAAGGTGTAAAAGCTGGGATCACATTGAGGAGGAGTTGTAAATTGTTGAAATACTATTCTTGTTAATCTATTCAATTTTAGTTGCTATTATTGAGATACTTGCACATATGTTGGTAGAGCCATGGGCTATTTGTTGTAAAATAACATTATTGTTGATTCTTTTAGCAAGTTGTGTTATTTGGGTACTTGAGGTGCGAGTTGTGATAATGATACGTGTGTGGTGGTATAAGAATAGGGGTTGATACACATGCGGTAAAATAAGGTGGGTTTGATACGTGTGTTTCTAGCAGGGAAACTACTTGAAGCCACACGGTGTGATAAGGTGGTCTAAAACGCGGAAAGCTATTTCGGAAAAAATAATTTTCGAAAAAAGGTAAGGCTCTCGCGGTGATATAAGAAAGATTGTGATTGTAATTGTGAAATGAGAATATGAGGCAGTACATCAGTTATGATTCTTGTTGTTATCTCTTATTAAACTCACTTGCATTTTGTTTGCATTGTTTCTTTGATGTTCTTATTATGTGATCCTTTCTTGTTGCATTTTTACTTTACATTTAGTTGTATTCTATCTTTTTATATTTCTTTATTTTTCTGCGCGTACATTCTTAGACTGTATTATATTTGTTCAATTTCTTATTCTTATCCTGGTAGGTGTCTTGACCTGACCTCGTCACCACTCTACCGAGGTTAGGCTTGATACTCACTAGGTACTATTGTAGTGTACTCATACTACGCTTCTGTCTATCTTTTTGTACGGATCCAACTACCTCATATCAGGCTAGACACCAATGAGTAGCGCATTCAGATCAGAGACTTGAAGGTATACATGTCGGCGTTCACAAGCCTCACAGACATCCTCTGTCCTTGTTTCGTTTCTACTGCTTACTCTTTACTTAGACACTGATGTATTAGAGATTGGTTCAGTTTATTCGTGTAGAGTTTATGACTCAGTCTAACCAGATTTGGGAGTTATTGTCAGCTGTATTGTGGGTTCTTTTATGATAGCTGGTTTGTTTAAATTTGAAGTTTTATTATTATTTTTGTTATTTCTTTATGTATGTTAAGCTTACCTAGTCTTAGAAACCAGGTTCCATCACGACATCCTACGGAGGGAGATTGGGGTCGTGACAAGTTGGTACCAGAACTCTAGGTTCATAGGAGTTACGAGTCATAAACAAGTTTAGTAGAGTCTTGCGGATCGGTACAAAGACGTCTGCACTTATCTTCCGGAGGCTATGGAACTATTAGGAAACTTCACTTCTTTGATTCCTTATCGTGCGAATTTGTTGACTTCAAAATTCTAAAACTTTGTCTTTCTAGTCTCTCTCAAATGGTAAGGACACGTATTGCTGGATTCGATGATATGAAACCCGCGCCCCTTGCTAGAGCTGCGAGAAGTCAAGGTCGGGGTAGAGGTCAAGGAGGCGCACGTGGTGCAGCTAGAGCACCTGCCCGAGCTGCGACACGGGAGCCACCAGTAGATGCAGCTGGGGGGCAGACACCTGAGGTGCCTGTTTCTATCCCTGCATTTCAGGAAACCCTCACACAGTTCTTGAGTATGTTTGGTACTCTGGCTTAGGCGGGGTTGATTCCACTCATACCACCTTGAGGTCAGGGCAACAACATCTGAGGAGGAGTAGCTTAAACTTGAGAGGTACAGGAAGTACCATCCTCCTATTTTTAGTGGCCTAGATATATAGGATGCACCAGGTTTTCTAGAGAAATCTCATTGTATTCTCCGTACCATGGGTATTGCGAAGACGAGCAGGATTAGTTTTACTACATTTTAGCTGTCGGTACCATCATATCAGTGGTGGCGGGCTTATGAGGAGGGTAGCCCAGCCGATGCAGCTTCACTCACATATGATCATTTTTAGAGATATTCTTGAGAGCGTTTATTCCCCAAAGCCTTTAGGATGCATGGCGTGCGGAGTTTGAGCAGTTGCGCCAGGATACTATGATAGTGTTAGAATATGCTGTCGAATTTAGTGAGTTGTCCAGACATGCATCTGCCTTGATATCTTCCACAGTCAGAGAGTGGGTCCGTCGATTTATCGAGGAGATCCACAATGGTATTAGATTCAGCATGGCTTGAGAGTTGGAGATAGATACTCTTTATTAGTAGGTGGTAGAGATCGCACAAAGATTGGAGGGTATGCAGGGCCATAAGAGAGATGACAGAGAGGCCAAGAGACCCCAAAATTCTAGTGGATATAGTGGTACCCGTGC